ACTTTATCATCAAATCTATTTTAATTTTGTTACGTATGTATTTTAATTTAAAAATAAGAATAGATTTTGTTTAAGAAGAAAAAAAAACAAACAATAAAATGATGTTAATAATATCAACAAAACCTCTTTTAGGATAACATTTGTTAATCTATCTATTTCTTTCTTCATAAGATATTTAAAAAATGAATGCAAAATATTCATATTAGTGAAACATAAAAATTCAATAAATTATTATTATTTTGATCATTATTTATTCTATTTGACTTTATTTCATATATAAATTCTAAAACAGAAATCAAATAGCTGCGTAGTTTTGTTTTTGTATAACCAAACCGAACCGATTTAGTTTTATTAAAAAGTTCAAATTGAAATCTATTTAAACTATTCTTCAAATTCTACAAATCAGTACATATATCCAATGTATGTATAATATGTCAAATGAATTCTTGTTAGACATAACTATGTAACAAATTTTATTACATAATAGTCTTAAATTATGGAATTTCCCTATAGATACCGAAACAGAGATGAATATGGTTCGGTTCGTAGCCTTTTAAGTCGATCTTGGCTATCGACCAGTACCGGCCCTGGTGGTAAAAAATCTAAACTGATTCTATTTTTGCCAGTTATGCTGACATACGATCAACGACATTGTCAGAATTATGAAAGCGAAAAATACTAATTTTAATATCTTTTAGTAGAATTTCCGAAGAAAAAAGAGTTCATTTTACAGTATAATTATCTAGAATAGTAAATATACATATTTTCATGTTAATTATATTTTATATTGTTTTGACATGTTTGTTTTTCTAAATGAATAGATTTGCTATTATTTGGATTCCATTATTGCTTCTTTTAATATTCAATACAATTCTTATATCTTATGTTCGTCGTTCAAAAAGAAATCAACGACGAAATAATGAAGGTATTCAATTACGTCGACATAGCCGAGGAAATCATGGTGAACAAAGAAAAACAACAATTATGTTAAGTAAGTTAAATTAAAAAAAGAAATAAATAAATTAGTCTTTTTTTTCGTTTGTTTTTTTTTTAGTCGCTGTTGTTATTGTTTTTACTGTTTGTCAAATTCCTCAAGCAATATCTTTAACAGTTCAATCATTTTTTCCTGTCTTAGCTCAAACATCGAAAGTTCTTATTTATAATAATTTTGCAAATTGTTTCGTTGCTATAAATGCTTCAACTAATTTTCTATTATATTGTTGTTTTTCTGATCGATTTCGTTTAATATTTCGTTCAAATTTTACATTTTTAAGTAAACATTGTGCATATGTTATTCAACCAAAATCGAAAATAATAAAAATCAATAAACAACGTTTACATTCAAATTCACTTGATAATATATCATTAACAAATCAATCAATTTATTCTTTACACGGAAATCAATATAATACACGTATATCAAATTTAAGTATTGATATTAATTCTAAATATTTTAATCATATGAATCAAAGACAATCACAAACAATTGATGATAATTTACAACCATGGTTTATTGCTCGTTTATCAAATTTATCATCAACATTGAAAACAACAAAACATAATAATCAATTACGTGGAGCACATTTTTCTCAAAGTACAGATTCGGTATGAAGAAAAATAAAATAACTTTTTTTCTAACGAAATTTTATTTATAAAGAATGAGACAATTAGTTAATCCCCTCTATATATCATCTTTTGTATTAGAATGAGAGTAATGATATTGTTTTTTTTTTTCTCAATGATTGCTTTTGAAAAACTGTTATTGTAAACTCTCTAAGATTGAAAGGTGAAATTCGATGAATTTGCATTCGATCGAGTCCAGATCTGAGTTTTTCTTTCTACTGTCTTAAACGTTAATAAGAATCGAAATAGTGATTTGTGTAGAGAATTGCATTGTCAACTAGAATTTTTGAAGATGAAAATGATTGATGATATTCCTTGAATTGGATCTTTGAAAAATCAAAACTCAAGTTTATTTGAGTTACCTAGAATGATAAGACAAAAACAATTATCGAAGGCACAAAAGTCGTTTTTTTCTGCTATTTCATATAGAAACATCTTTTTTTTGGATTTTTACAAAACAAGCACACGAAAGAAAATATGGGTGTGGTTTGCACGTCTTCTTTTCATCAATAGCCATGTCCACATTCATACACTAAAGAATTAAAAAGTCTATCTGTAATAATTACAAATAATAACATAGCGAATAATGTAATTATTGTTGAACGAACATGATTTCAAATAAATTGAATACGAAGTAATTACTTCCATTTCAATTTCTTAGCGGCTTGAATTTTCATTAGGTTTCAAAATATGAATATGAACCTTTTTAGTCTATGCACAACTTTCGACATCTTCATTTTTGTGCTTTCCATAAGATTGATGTCTGTCGATTAGGAAATGCCCTATAGAACTGGAAGATGTTTTATTTTGTAAAAATTTTTTTTTTGTTCTATCATTCTAGATAATTTAAACAGAATTATATTTACAAATTTTAGGATATGAAAAACTTGAATTTCAGTTTTTCAGATATGCTATTCTCGTAGAACTAGTAATTATTTTTATATTCAAAAAATCTTGTTGAAATTAAAATTCTCCACAAGAGCCATTGTATGTGTCGATGTTTGTGAATTCTTACATATTGTTAATAGGTGTGTGTGTGTGTGTGTACTAAAAAAAATAATCCTAACATCGAAAAAAAGACTTACAAATAGATATCTTTAATTCAATTGTTTCTCATAATAATTCCAAAGTAAACTTCAATTTATAATTATATGTGTGTTGTAACCTGCTCTCTTTTAATTAGTCATGCGTCATGGCTTTTCCCCTCTTGTGATCATCCTATATATATAATCGTTAGATTGTCACGATCTGCCGTGAGTTTCAAGAGAGTGGGACGATCTAGAATTAGACAGATCATCAGAAGCAAACTGTTTAGTACAGAATGAACTATCTTTCAGAACTCGGCCAGAAGTTTTCGGACAGCTAATCAAAGTTCTTACAGATAGAGCGCAAAAAATGGGAGGGGCAGGATCGGACATCTTTCTATCACCAAAAGATGAGAAAAATATAATAATTATCATCAGTAAAACTATATCCCGTAGACTTTCCTCAAGATCCGAGGGTGCTGCTCTGTCATTCATGATCTTTTGGTTATCCCTCTAGGAATTAGTACATTCAACTTTTTCCTTATCGAGAATCATAGTTGTTGCTACGCTGTTCGGAGACAGAAAGTCTATATTTTCACTCCTTTTAGATCGTATTTCAAAAAAAAAAGAACTTCGTGCTCATAAAACATCTTGAAAAATGCTTTTCTCGAAACTGTACACACACTGGACAGCAGAAAGAATTATTATCTACAGAACTGTCATTGTTTTCAATCAAATTTACATAAATTTTCAAGTTTTTTTTTTTTTCATTTATTCTTCTCTATTCGCATATAACCTTGTAATAATGAATAAATGATTTATTTTCTTAGTATCCAAGTTCTCCAACAGTTAGTATAATAAAAAGTCCATTAATGTTCATTCAACAAAAACGTTCATCAAATGTATCAACAGGTGGTGACCAAACGTTAAGATTATCTATCGATGAAACAATACCAAAACGTATATCTACAACTGAAAGATTATCTTTAACTCCATCAAAACATCAATCATCACGTTTATACGAATCGAATCGATCAATTTTAAAATCAATACCTCGTTCAAAATCTCCTTCATATCGTTCATTAATAGATAATAATCGAAATCAAGAACATATATGGATAAAACGTCAGCGATCTAATAGCATAAATGAACAATTATTAAATCGACAAAAAACACCTAATTGTACAGACATTATTGATATTACTGTATAAAATATTTCTTTTTTTTTTTTTTTCATTTAAAAAAGAAAACTTGTGAAAGAAAAAAAAATAGTCACTTTTTATATTTGATAACAATCATATATTCCCATGGGATAAATCAATCAATAGACAACAAAAGTTACGCTTGACCGTTATCTATACTATATATACGTATATGTGATGACAATGAATGATATTCATCATAAGAGAAAAAGAAAAACCTACATCTCATTATCACTTTTGAGTAACTTGATAAGACAAATTTGCTTCTTCAATTATTTCATAGTGAACTTTATTGAAGGTCATTTGGTTTTGTTTTTCTCTCTGTCTCGTTCTGTTTCTCTTTCGTTCATTGGCTCGAAAGAGAAAAAAGCAGATGTGATCATTTGTTTCGTTTCTTTCTCTTTTCTTTTCTTTTCGTTCACAGACATTGTACTGATTAGAATGATTATTTTGTGACACCAATATCATTGCTTAAAACATGGATCAATCAAGAACATTTACAAAACTTCTACGAGTCCTTCAATTTCGTAAGCATATTAAAGGTAAACTTTTTCAATAGAGAAAATAATGATTCTTCTTTCATATATACCTAAAGGTATAATTATATATTCCCTATTGAGTATAGAAAAAGGAAAAAAAAACTTTCATCCACTTCTTATTCATTCGTTGCCATGTGGGACTCATGTAATATTTTAAGTGAGTAAAAATGTTTTGATAATCTATAATCCATCTTTTTAAAATTACACAAACAAAAATCCTTCAAATGACATATAATTAATCTTTTTTGTAAACATTATGCTATCGATGTGTGAGAAGACAAGAGGAGATGCTTTACATCTTATTAAGAAGAAAAAATTTTATTTGATCTTCGATTTTTTTTTTTTTTCTTTCTCAACTTTTTAGAACTTACAAGTGCATGTAAGCGGATTAATAAAGATGGATGTTATGAATTTGTAACAGCTAAAACTGAACCATTATCAACACAGAAAAAAACAACTAAATTTAATATATTTGTATGACTAATTGATTATTTGAAGCTATAACTAATATTTTTTTTCTTTTCTTTATTATCTATTTTTAATTAAACTAGCGTTCAAAAAAACGACGAAATAAAAGTTCATATCATTTATCAACTGAAGTGCAATCAAATATGGAATGTATAACGGTTGATAATCATGAACGACCGTTAAAAAATATGAATAGTTATGAACATCTGTCTCATGCTACACCTACATCACCAGCCAATCTGTCTATGATTATTTCGCAATCATATAAACCGTTACATGTTAAATCGACACAATTTAATAAGAATACAATTGCCGTTACGAAAGGTATTATATATCTACTTTGTTCTGCTTGAATAATTCTTTCGATTTTAAAAATGAAGAAAAGCGATGTGATCGATTCGATCCAATTGAACTACTATTTAATTACTTTTTCTTTTCTAACATATTAACATTTTGTTTCATATCATTTAACAGAGTTTTTATTCATTTATTTTAAGTCAATATGTATTGTTAATCTTGACGTGTTCAGGTAGACAACTAGCGTAAGCCGATAATGAAAGACAGATAGATAGATAGACATAAGATGTGATTTGTTGATTTTATTCGCTCAATGTCTAATTCACCATCTAATTGAAAACAAATAGGAAGTTGGGTGTCATTTATATAGATATTGACATATAGATTCCTTGATTGGAAAAAGAAAAGGAACATGTGAGATATTGTTCTTTCGTTTTCAATGAATGATGTCAATGAGTAGAACTCATTGGATTGGTTCGCACATCGACCCTACGACCATACTCTAAAAATAACAGTCGACTATAATTTAATTATGAGAAGATAATCGTCAAGTTTATTTGAAAAATGTGTAGAGAATGTGTGAGTAATCGAATGCAAAGAAAGTATCTCGTATATTCGAAGTGAGTTGCAGACTCACAAAGAAAGGTCTTCAAGTATAGCTCGCACCAATTGAACTGATACTTTGCTTATAACTAAGCCTCAACGAGACTAGTAGAAGCCTGTATGGGTTCGTTCCTATGGGTTTTCTTTCCCAAGTTATCATAATTTTCTTGAATTTTTTTTATCTCTGGCAAGATATATGTCACAAAATTGCAGTCATAAAGAATAAGTTTTTGAGATATTGAATTATGAAAACACTGGTCAATCGTACCTTTCCTTATGACTATTTTTAGATGCTCGTTATTTTAGGCTAAAATTCTCAGAGCATTCTTAGATCTACGCAATCTATCTAGATTTTTTTCACACGCATCTTGACAGAGATAAAGAATTCAATACAATTATGATAACTTGGAAAGAACATCACATGCGACGAACCCTTATAGGCTTATATTTGTCTTGGCAAAGTTTACTTATGGATAAAAAATCACTTCGATTGTTGAGTCATACCCGGAAATATTTCCTGGTCAGACTGAAACATAGCGTTACAATTAAAAATACAATTCGGGTCGAAAAAATTTGCACTCGGCAAACTCTCGCAGTGGGAGTCTTTTTTTTCTAAAAATCGGTCTTCAATGTATCGATCGATTATCAACGTCATCCTATTTAGTGTTTTATTCTGTATGAAGACGGCACACTTTCAAAGACTGATTTTGTCCGCCCGAACTTTGTAGTTATTGTGCGATACACTATGCATCTTAGTTTTCCCGGAAGAGAAGATCTGGTTAAAACAATCTGCTCCTATATATTTCGTTCGATAATAAAAATCAAATTCTATTGTAAAATGTATAATCTCCAAGAAAAAAAAAAACAAAATAATCTATCATTGAAAAAATGAAAATAAAAATTTATTTTCTTTAGGTACTCATGTAAAAGCACTTTATGCAATATCCAATTGGGTATTTATTGAAATACCTGAAACTGGTGAAACTGGTTTTATACCAATTTATTGTACTCGTTTACTTGAACCTGTTAATTCATCATTTGAATCATCTTCTCAAAATAATATTAGTTTACTTAATGTTAGCATTTGTGACAAACCACGTTATTCACGTTTATCAATTACAAATAATCGATCGTATAGTATGTCAGCACCACGACATGGTCGTTTTATTTCATCAATTGGACCATGTTATTTAAATAATGAACCACAACTTTCCAAAAGTTCACGTTTAACTAAAACAACAACATTTACTCGTCCACAAATTAAAGATGAATCAATTTTATCTCAACAAATTTCAAATATGTCTCTACATATTTCTGATAAAGATGCTTATGAAACATTAAATTTAACTCCACATAAAAATTTATCATTAAGTCTTTTAGATAATGAACCAGTGATTTTTCGTTCAAATAATCGTTTACGTGTTATTGAAAATTATCAAAGACAATTTATTGGTGATATAAGTGTACTTGAATCTGAAGTTGTTACACTTGTTAATCCAAGTGAATCTATTGGTGATTGGCGATTAGTCAAACGTGGTGATGGACAACAAGGTTATATACCGAAAAATATTGTTATATTAGATCGAAATTTTACTTAAACAAACTACTCTTTATTTTTTTTGCTTTTCTGTTTCATCATGTTCATGAAAGATTTTATTCTCAAATAAAGAAAATATAATTTTAACTTCAAAAAATATTTTACATACAAGAAAACCATCCGAGGTGATACTTCATATTTGAAATGAAACCTCAGTCATTACATCGTGCCTAATTTTGACCTCAAGCTTTGTCTATAGACAACTTTTAAAGGCATTAGATTCTTTTAGAAATCTCATCTAATAAATGTGATATCTTTTCGGAATATCAGATCCACAAAAAAAGTTAAATTTTCTATTCTTTCGGTGAAATATCATGAAGCATGTTGTATATATGTTAACATTGAATCTCAGATTAGAGAAAAAATTTTCTTTATAAACTCCATTGATCTCTAGATCGATTTTGGATTCGAATTCTTGCTGTTGGTGAACCGTTTTGAAACAATGGTTTTTCAGATATTCCAATCATCAATAGAGAAACTAAATATGGACTCGAACAATCATGAATAATTTTCCATAAAATCTACTCTTCTGTGGAAACTTATTCATAGATTCACAAATCTTATTCTAATTTCTCCGTCGACGATTGTATTACTTGAAATGTCATTGTGTCAACAAAAACCTCTTCTCCCATCCAATATTGGACTGCATCTGAGATTACATGCTAACATATATAATGAAAAACATTAAGTTTTTTATTTTTTTTCAATTCTTCACTAATTTCTTATACGGCTTTACCGAATTGAATTGCTAATTGTAAACTGTGATAATTAACAATGATCGCTGACACATGATCCGGTTTAAACCTTATTATTATATGGGATCTGCTGACAATTGGAGAATGAATTTGTAAAATGATTAATCATAAACGAACTGGAAAGGGACCGAATTGTTAACTGCTCTATTATAGAAGACGAGAAAGTAGTTATTTTACAAGACATAGACACATTTTCTAGATATCTGAAGGATTCTAGCAAATAAAACAAACTAATTATTGCTTATTATTACTTATCTTTTCATGCATTTTTCTTCCTGCAAAATTGACAATTATTGAAATATGGTAGCTTCCCTGCTGTGGGCACTGTTGGCACTTTTCATGAGCAATTATCATAGAATTATATGACGATGTTCATTATGAGTGGTTTTAATATTAAACCGTATAGAAAGAAAATTTCTTAAAACTTTTAGTAAGGAATTAAAATATCTTCGTTATTATTTTTCGTACATCTCCTAAGGAATTCATATTCGATAGGATTTTACAAATGAACACATCATTGAGAATCTTTGTAAATTAAATTTTATAAAATTTTCTATTTGAATCTTTTTTAAAGATTTTATTTTATTTTCTTCACAATATTACACAATACACAAATAATGAAAATGTATCAATTTATGTTAATCTTTACAAATATGATAGGAACAATCAGATTAATAACTACAACAGAATATATTCTGAAGTTTTCATTATTAATACATCATCAAAAATCCTCATTATAAAGAAAAACAATAAATTGAATAAAAAGAAAAAAACAAAACATTTTCTTTAATTTGAATCTACCATAATTCACCTTCGGTATCTTTTGCTGGTACTTCAATAATTCTTGGTTTATCAATAATTTTTGCTGTTCGACCACCTTTTTCTACTACACCAATAATCCATGCTTGATAACCTTCTTGTGCTTGAATATCTTTACAATAAGCTGCAGCTTGTTCACGTGGTAAAACCACAAGTAAACCACCTGATGTTTCAGCACTTGTACCTTGTAATAGACCAAATGCATTACCACAAGCTTTACTTATTGTTGCCATTTTAGCAATAATTGGTAAATTATGTATAACAAATGAAACATCATGTTTTTGATGTTTAGCTAAATTTTGTGCATGACCTAATAGACCAAAACCAGTTACATCTGTACATGCATGAGCATTATATTTATGCATAAGAGATGCACCTTAAAGAAAAAAAAAGATAAAAATATTTAATTATAGTTAAATATTCATTTAAGGACTGTTTGATCCTCAAACAAAAAAGGTTTATTTTCGTCAAATTAATCGAAGTCAAAATGAATGTATGGAATGATGTGTTATTATTTGGTATGTTGTTTTTTCCGATGATTTTCATCATCTTCTGCTCACTTTTTCATATTAATCTATGAGAATATAGGAATATATATATAAGTCACAGATTTTCTCTACGAGGTGTATTTTGAGTTCTAACAGCTTCTACAGTAATACTTCATATTATGGAAAATTATGGCACAACAAGGTTTCCTTAAAAGAAATGGAAAAAGTTTTTGATTTATTTTCCAATGTGTTTGAAACATGCTTGTTCATATTCTTATAAAAAAAAATCAAACTATATGAAAACTTAGAAGAAGAAACCTATTTTTTCATTGGTTTTACTGTATCAACTATGTCTTTGCATTACTATAATAGTATTTGACATACATATATCAAAATATTCACGAATATAAAAACCTATTAATGCAATCCCAACGGGAGTAAAATTTGAAATATAATGAAGCTGCTATTATCATAAAAGAGGTAATCCATCAACATGGTTTGCTGTATGAATTATCAACTACTGTTAATGATTAAATATATTAATCATCAACGGGAAAAGAATAACTATCTTAAACTCAACTATGTTTCATACTAATTCTGCAGTATACACATAAACTATTCTCTTTAAGATCTACATTTGTAGTAAGTTTCAAGTAGAAATTCGAAAATTAGTTTTTACAATATCTACACAACAATAAACTAAAGATTCGAACTCATTTAGGTCTACGTGATGCATATATAGTCTTAAACGAAAACCGTTTTAATCAGTCTCGTAACTTCCTTCATTCAATAAACATACCAATTTTATTTAATCTTGCCATTGAATTCATTGCACGTTGATATGCTTTACGAACATCATCTTCACTTATAACAGATTTAATGCGATTCCATCGATCAGGATTTTCAAGCCATTGATGAGCATTAACTGCAACCTTTAATTAATAAATTTGTTTTTTTGAATTTTCAATACAATATTCAATATTAATAATCAAACCTGTGTGCCTAATGGTTTTGTTAATACTAATACATCACCAACAATAGCATTCTCGGGAATGATTATTTCATTTTGTGTACATACAGCAGTTGCAACACCACCAACAATTAACCATGGATTAATTACCGTTTGACCACCTTGTACACTTGTACCTGCTTCTTCAGCACATTCCTATTAAATAAAGTTTTTTTTTAAACAAAATTCTATTTTTTTTCTTTTACTTTAAATCCTTGAAGAATTAATGGCATTATTGTATCTCGTTCTTTGTCAGTCATTTTATTACTTGTACTTAATAACATTAACATATTATCAACTTCAACAGCTCCCATTGCATAAACATCACTTAATACATTTGCACATGCAATTTTTCCCTTAAATATATTTAGCAATTAATAGAATGTATTTTTTGTATTTCTTTAGTATTATTTAAATATCTACCATGACAAATGGATCATCGACTAATGGATAGAAAAAAGCAGTTGATTGTACCAGAAAAAGCCCTCCATGACGTATTGGAATAACACATGAATCAAGGCCAATTCCTATAAATATTTTTCTCGGAAAACTATCTTTTGTTTTATTAAATATTTTATTAACATACCGACCACCGGTGTTGGTTTAGACTCAGGTAAGAGTCCTTGGTGATGTTGTCCATCACCATAGCCGTTTTTATCGGCTGTTTGAAGTCCCTCGAGCAGCCGGTGGAGCACATCTCGAGGAACTTTACATCCTCAACCTTTAAGATCGGATAATTTCGTTAAACGAAAATCAGCCGATAAATTATAATCCAATGGATCAAAATATTTTCTATACATGATTTCTCTTTTTTTTTTTTTTTTTATCTAGAATATCATTAAAATTGTACATATTTTAAAAAGAGAAAAAAAAAACCAATAAACGACTGATCATTATTATTGGTATAAACGAGAAAAATAAAATCCATTATTAATTATACAAACGAAAAAGAAAAACAAAAACCGGTTTAATTTGTTCAAAAAAATAGTTGTCGAGCATCCGATGGGCTTTGTTCTAGAAAATAAAGATCAAACATAATAAGTATATATATATACCATTTTTTAATAAGAATTTACCAAGAGGACAATATGGACATTTAAGTTTATTTTGTATAGATAATTTATTTAGTGCATCTTTTGATATAACATGACCACAAACAAGTTTCATTGGAGGATTTTGATCAGTTGTTTGTTGTCGAAGAATTGGACAAGCAAATACACTATGATATCGATGTTCTTGACCAACATCTACTTCTATTGGTAATTCATCTTTTGTTAATATATGACATACTTGTGTATTTTGCATGGCATTTACTATACTATAAATTAAAAAAAAATATAGTATCTTAACTTTATATTATCATAACAAATAAGAATAATGGTAAAGACATTTTTATTTTTTAATCGAGGGGTTGATATATATATATATACTAGCATAGAAAGAAAGAATATATCGAACATTAATAGAAAAAGAAAATCTCAGTACATATTCAAGATAAATAACTGAACGAAAGAAAATTTAGTTGGATTCTATATGTAGACGATGATGTCATTACACTAATAAGAATATGTAAACAAACCGTACACATCAGCTAACCATTTTCTTTCGTACTATTTAAATTCGATAGTCTAACTATTTATTTTGTTGATAAATGAAGGCAAAAAAAAAAAATTAGATTTATAGTAATTTTTAATTCGTAATTCATTCTCTTTTAATTACCATAAGACGGATACGGAAACACAAGTCTTGAATACTAATCAACAGCAAATTACATGAATTTTCTTTTACATTTCTCTTTCCAGTGGTGAATTTAAGGGGTGTAGCAAAGCGGCTGTACCTCCGGGTGAAATTTATTTTTTTCTGAATAGAAACAAAAGAAATTATATAATGTCGGAAACTGTTTTATTTTGAGCATGACCATCATTGTCTGTTTCTTATTCTTGAAGATCAAGAGCTTAAACGCTAACGAGGAAACCTACTCAATTATTCCCTTCTGATGTCCATAATTGTTTGCCTACAAATACTACATAGCGTTCTAATAAAAACTCTAATTATGGAATTTCTATCTGTAGTTGAGTTCTCTAAGGTTTCAGCTAAAAACTCGATAACTTACGAGGAAATGTTCTCAACTGATGAAATTCCAATGAGATATGGAAAATCTGAAAAGAATAAATTTCCTTCAGCCTTCTGTCCAGGACGATTGTTAATTTTGTTCACACACAGACGTATTTGTTGCTCGAATGTTCTGAATATTTGAGCTCTAAGCAATGCTTATTTTCCGAGATATTAACATTCTAAAAACCAGAAAATTCTAGCATCTTTCGTGGAATATGAGTGTTTTTTTTTGGACATTAATATCTCGCGAAAGAAACATTCCTTAGAGCCAAAACTTTCAGAGCATTCTAATAACAAATAGACCAGTTCGTAGGCAAAAATTGCCTTTAACTCTGATCATAGGACCTAACGGTATCTATCTTTTTCAGATTTTTCCTATCTCGTTGGGATATGAATGTACGTAGAGCCAGAATTTCAACACAAATGTTCACGTAAAAACATTTTCTCTTTACTCAAACCTTTGCAGGATTTTAATTATAATACTATATAGTATCTATAGGTAAAAAGATGTAATCAAAATCGGAAGAAGACATTTGAAGAACTCTCGTAACATTCAACTTTCCTTACAAGTCAATAAACTTTAATTATTATTTTCTCCTTTACCTCATAAGAGCAGGCAAAGATTGAAAACCAATTTTCATAACAACATAAAGTGGACTATCTTGTGCAAGACCAACTTGTTGAAATGCTTGTTGCATAAATAATTCCGATAATTGTAACCATAGATGTGGTTCAAGTAAATATTTATATGGTGATTGTGATAAATCTCTTCGAGCAAAAACCAATGCACCCATTAAATGATTAATATCTTGTTCACATTGTCCATTAAGTATAGAATATTGTCTTAAATGTATTAAATAATTTTTTGCTTCATCAAAATTTTCCATTTGTAATAATTGAATAAAACGCATTTTATGTAAATGAAATTCTAATAAACTACTAGTTTTATTTAATTCATTTCGATGTTTTATACACCAATCAATAGCAGGTAAAAGATTTTTTTCACGTATATTTTCTAAAATCATATTTATTTCTTCGAGAAAATTTTTTTCAATATTAAATAATTCATTATCATTTAATTTTGTTTCTTCAATTAATTTTTCAGCTATTGACATACGTCCTTGACGATATAAATCTTCACATATAATCATATAAATTAATTTTAATTTTTCTGTTGTATCAAATAATTCAATTATAGGAACATTACCAAAATCGGATTGAAAATATTTATCAATTGTTTTACCTATTTTTGATATTGAACCATGTAAATCTTTATGTTTATCACTATATTGTTTAGCTAATGGTTTTATTAAATTTTCAATAGAACTTTTTACAAGTGTATCATCAATTGGATTTGATATAATTGTTTGAATTTGTTCAATAACATTATCAATATTTGTTTCAATTGTATCATAATATTCTTGAACAGATTCAATAGCTTTATCTACATCTTTTTCAGCAAGACTTATTGTATTATTTGTGGTCGACATGTTTTTTTCTCATATATGCGAACGAAATGAAAATGACAAATCAAGGTAAGAGACAAAGAATAACCAATCAGAATTTTATCAATATCCTCTATAATGATATATAATGAGAAAAATATGTTGAATAGAAAAGAAAAAAATTTAAACCAAAAAAAAAATGTTGTGTTTTTTAATTAAAAATATTTTCATATATTTTATTGAAATTAGTGAACAGATGGTTCATTGTTCCTTGAAAACAAAGAGCGAAGTAAAAGTATTAGTAAACATCTTTGTTAAAATGACCTCGTATTCATAAGAAGAAGGTGAATATTTTGTTTGATTGTACTTGATTTCTTAGATAGGTTAACAAAAATGAATGATAGCAAAAATTATCATAGTATCTTTTCGAATTAAGCGTCAAAGTTCGATTGCATACTTCATGAGATTCGCAATATTCTATATATTATTTAGTCTTATTAATAGGACATTTAAAAGAATAAGAGTGCGAAAATATTGATGATTTGAAGAAGTATTCGTTTCTACACATTTGAGAAAGATTTATAGCAAAGTAAGTTTTTTTTTATAATATGAATTCTTTTCATCTAGATTTACAAGAAATTCTTCTATTGAAATTTACTATGGGGTTTTGAGGAAATTATTGTAAGTAATTTCGAGTTCGGATTCTATGCGTAAGGTAGATCAAAGTGTGATATGAAAAGCTCTAATAGAATAAGCACTGTTAAGTTTTGCGGAACATTTTTAGTTAAAACATACTTATCATACAGCACCTTCATCCTCACTCTATGTTGTGTGTTTAAAGTAAAAATATATCCATGTTTTCGAAACCACGGATTTTCTTAAGCCAATCATAGAGCTACTAATCGATTTTGACTTAAGACTATGTGTATTATGTAAAGCCAAATGAATTATGAATATATGGAAAAGAGTTCGCTCGTTGAACGCAATGCTAGGTAGTTATTGTGTACTATTACGGTGGTCTTTATATGAATGCCATGATTCAGAAAAAACTGATTGTAGAATTTTGACTTGAAATTTTGTCGTTGCTCCTATCATAAGATACAGCTATGGCTAATGCGCATCTTTTGTATAGAAATATCTTCTTATTTTGCAGAAAAGAAGTAAATCAAAAGATCTGAAACTTTTTTATAATAAACTATTCTCATTAAGATCTATCGCTATGCAAAGTTTCAATACTAAAATAAGAAAAATCAGTTTTCGTGAACGGAACTAAGGCTCCGAGCTCTTTTCAAGAAATTCATAGCTCATCTAAATCTACTTACATAATTTTAACTCAACAGTGATTAATCAATTAGGAAACTTCCTTCATCAATTGATTTAATAGTATGTCACTTTGCAGTTGCAACTATTAAACATCGTTATAATTTTATGTAAAAATGAAAATTTTTCTATCATTTTAGACTTTGTTTTGACTTGATAATAGAACAACAACAACAAGAAAATGACGAGTTCTATGCATGATGAAAATAATGATAGTTCGAATGATCTTCTTCATGTCCTTATGCCTGTTAATAGTCGAGTTGTTGATTCAGGTTATTTAACATTTTCATCTTCATATATAACATCTCCATCTCGTTTATCTCCATCTATGGTTGTTTATAATCAATATGATTCTCCAATATCTGAATATAATATTCAATCTCCAATAAATCCTATAATACAAAAATTTCATTCAACAATTGATTATGAAAATTATATAACAACAAGAAAATATTTTGATATATTAACACAATTATATCATAGAAATGCATATCATTTAATTGATGAAATATTAAAAAATTTATCAAATAATAATTTATTTTATTGTTTAAATGTATGCAAACAATGGAATTTTATTTTAAATGATTATTATCAACGTAAACGAACAAAAAAAGTTAAAAGAAATTTATTTAATAATACGAATAATAATAATGAACAATCATCAATACGAAATAAAAAATTAACAAGTACACCAATGCAAATAATAACAAATACAATTCATTCAAAATTAACAATACCATTTAATATTGAAATAATAAATACTGATAAAAATAAAATTCCATTACAAAATCAATCGACATCAATAACAGAAGATAATATTTATCTTACTGCAAGTACAATGACATTTCGTTATGGATATTTAAAATATTTACATGGACCAACTATTCCTAAGCGTTGTCCACTTTGTGGTTTTGTTTCTATTGTTGACGTAAATGATCAGCATGGGTATGTTTTATAGAAAAATACTTATCTTTTATTCTATCGAATTGTGGAACATTTCCACGTGTAGCATGTCCATCGAACAGTTATTGTGCCTATCACTAGATTCCAATAAGACTAGTAGAAATTTAATAACAGAGATCAGGCTCACGTGTGTTATACAAAACCAAAAGAGTTATAAAATATCCTGAAAAGAGTTCGTGCCTTTAATTTATTGCTACGTAGATATAGCATTCTTATAATGGCTCAGACAAATTGATTTTTCGAATTTCGACTTGAAACTTTGAATAGAAGCAAGTCATAATGAGAATAGTTTCATGAAAATGTTTGAGATCTTGTCGTTGTTTCTATTGGAAGATACAGCTATGATAAATGTGTATCTTTCGTATAGAGGTAGATTCTATGTTCCTATTGCAGAATAGTAAGGCCTGTCTCTGTACAAAGCTTCAAATCGAAAATAAGTTTTCCTGAGGAGAACTGCGATATTATAATTTCGATTCAAAAGCAATTAATCAATTTCCTTCGTAAATGATTTCGATTGAACTGAAATATTTCGGACAGTCGAATAATCTTGTTTGTTATATGTCTATAGGAAAAATTGTAAGTCTACAACTCGTAAGATGTTCTTTCATAAATATTATAACCCTATTGATTTAATTACTATATTTTATGTGAATAATTTGAATTGAATTTTGTTTTATTTTTTAGTATTTGCACAAATCCCTTATGTCGAAATAATTTTTGTCAATATTGTTCGGGACCTTATCATCCATTAAGTCCATGTAAAACAACTACAGGTCCAATAAAATCACCATGGCATAAACGAGCTTCTATATCACCTATTTTTTCAAATAAAACACGAAGTAATTTACGACGATTATTAATACGTTAATTTATGACGAGTTTATTTATTTATTATCAATAATATCGTTTTCTCTTTGTCTCTTGTTTTAGCATCTTCTGCTCTCTTTCTTTTTCTTTTCTGTTTTTTTTTTTTTTACTTTCTGGGAAACAAAAAAAAAAATTTCTGTTCATTGATTGAATGATGTATATAAATTAATAATTATTTTCTTTCATTATTCTGTGAAATGAAATGTTTCTATGTGTTTTCTTTTTCTATATTGTGTATAGATAACATGTAGAAAAAAAAAGTTTGATTGCCAATAAAAAAAAAAACAATAAAGATGTAACAAAGATATTATTTTGTATTTAAATAATACATAAATTTATCTGGTGTGTAAATGTTCTTTCTTTTCGTTCATTTACTCCTTTATTAGGAAAAGGATCCTTCTTGACCTTCTTTTTTTGATAATCTCCTACTTTTCTGCTTTTTGCTACTTATGGTTCCCATAGACTTGTGCAATAGTCTATTCGATGAATATACAAATGTTGACTTCTACAATCTTAATTCAAGTTGAATTTACTGTTCTGTGCTAAATTTCTGTTAGTATTTCAATGATTCTATGATAGGATACTTATTGTGCATTTTAATAGACTTTCTGTACTTAACTTATAGGACACAGCGATCTTTTTGTAGAATGAGATAGTACTGGTGACATTAAGAAATTTCAGCTACAAAAATAGACTAAGCCTAACTCATTATTTGTGTTCCTTCGTAAAAATTGGTATGAATTTTAATATCTTAATGTAAAAACGTTGCCTTTTAATGGTGAAAATACACTTTAAAAAGTTTTAGTGCAGTATTATATGCCGTAATATGTATATGAATGCTTTTCTCATAGGAAAAAATACATGAGATGTCAATAAAAACATCTTTTTGATGTATCTTCACAGTTCAAGAGGCAACATTTTTTGTGAATTGTTAAACTTATATGAGTTTTGCAATTTCTACCCTCAGAATCACTAAGTAAACTTGATTTTGTTGATGTACAGGTATATAAAAATGAAATCGTACAAAGAAATTAAATATATTATACATTTCACAACAAAGTTTTATCTTTTTTTTGAATGGCTGTCTGATTGGGTAAACTATCTACTTGCTACATGCCACTTTTCTGTTTCGGTTTTCGGTGAGAAACTACATAGAAACCTTTAAAAGTCCAACAAGATCTTTGTTTCACCATGCTCAAGCTTGCCAATGCATTCAATATATCAAAATATCCTTTTACAAAAAAAAAATAATGTCCTCCAAAATCCTTCTATTTCTCAAATCATCATTCACATACCAGAGAAATCTGAAACAATAAATCAGTGAAACGTGTTTTCAACGTATATGTGTAGTTTAACCTATGCTGTACCCATGGATATGTAAATAAAGGTATAATAATAAAGTGTAGAGAAATATCAAATATTTGACAAAATCCTATCTAGAAAAAGATTACCTTTGGTTATGAAAAAAATTATTCCAAATTACATTTATGTGAAATCTGTCGTATTCAATATCAAATTGTCCATTATATAGTATACATGTTTTTAATAACCTTCTTATCTATCTATTGAATCACAAAGAAATAAGTATAATCAGAAATCAAAGAAAGTAGAAGGACCTTTGTGACAATATTGAACTAGAATTATAAAGAAGCAATAAATGACTATCCTAAATGACTCACACGTAGAATGAAAGACAATAATAACTTCTAGCTGACATTTAAAGAGTTGAATATGTTACAGTTATTGATTAAAGTTTACAAACGAATGCTACTAAACAAGATATTGAATACTCATACAGAAAAAAAATACTGTAATCTATTCTATCTGATTCTATTTATTCATATGCAACAATATATCATTTTTCAATTAAATATTACTCATTGTGAATAGACAAT